ATGTCCACTTTACCTTATTTGTTGCAAGGGATTCTTGAAATTTGATTATATTAGAACAAGAAATGTCATTTTCTAATTGTTTTTTGCAAGGGAAAGCGGATTACAACAAAACAACCGGATCCTGTACACACCCTCTTTACTGAGGCTTCCTCACGAAAATGATGAAAATGTAGCTGCGGCCTAGGCGGCGCAGGGGGGGCGCGCACCAGGGGGCCCAACAATAATTATTCTTTAGAATAAATAATGTTCAACAACAACAACAACAACACGAATCCGCACCGCGGAATCTCACTTCAGCCACGCACCCAGGGGCAATGAATGACCGTTCGGCCCCCTCACTCTGATTATGCGGGTTGACTGTAGGTACAGGAGTGGGGGCGCCTCCCAGAAAAGTGGTGGACTTCAGCAGAGCTGGAAGGGGCAGTGGCAGTGGACGCTGGTCGGCGGCAAGCCCGGGGGGAAGAGTGAGGGGGGCAGGCCTTCTCGGGAAGGCGGCGGGGCTTCTCAGAAGCCCTCACGCCTTCTGAGAAGCCGTCTGCGTCTTCGAGAAGACCTCACACACTTCTCACGAGGCCGGAGGCCTTCCGAGCCTTCCGAGAAGGCCCACCCCCTCCGCATTCCCCCCGGGGCTCGCCGCCGAGCGAAGGGATTCAGCAGAGCTGGAAAAAGGCAGTGGCGGTGGACGTTGGGTCCACCAGGCAAACGGATGCGGCGGGAGGAAGAAGCACAAGCGTCTGGACCGACCTCAGCGGCAGGAGCACGAGCGGCAGGAAAAGAGGTGCGACGCGACGCCACCGCGCCCGCCCGTCTCTGTGAGAGCCTGAACATGCGGCTTGAGCTTAGCAGCTCGGTGGCAACCGAAATACATGTGTATATATATATATATATACAAGACTGCAGTGGCGCTTCGCGCCATGCACCTTGGTCCTTGAAGTGTGGTATGCAGGCGGAATAGCAGGAAGGTCAAGCCGACAATTTAGCGACAACTCCTTGTTGCCATTTCCGGCATCGCCGCTATAGTGATTCGCTGTCCTTCCTCCAGCTTCTTTTTCCTGATTTTCGCCATACCCTGCGCATTCTCCCCATCCTCCTCAGCTCTTTATTGCGGAGGCTCCTCCTTGGAGAGCCTCTGGGGTCCTCACAAAAATTGTTTCAGGCTTTCTTAATGCTTTCAGGAGGCCTCCTGGGTGTATTCTGGGGGCCTCTGGGGGCTTCCTCGGGCCACCCTGCCTCCAACCGCGGTCTCCCTGAACGACCGGGTCACGATTTGGAATGCTTCGGAGGGTGTCTTGGGGCCATCTTGGGCCGCCATGGGGCTCTCTGAGGGCCATCTTGGACCCGTGTTGTGCCGTTGTGGAGCTCTCTTGGACTGCCTGGAAGCCCCTTCGGATGGTTGTGGGGCGATTTGGAGCCTCCCAGGCGGCTTCGGACGCCCAGAAGACCGCCGTCTTGGAGCGTCGGGAAGCCGAAAAGAGGAGAACCCCCAAATTCACCAAAAAACAACAGAAAATTAATGATTTTTGCCTCTTGGGACCTTCTGGGGGGTGCTCTTGGAGGTCTCTTTGGGGCCGTCCTGGAGGCCTCTTGGGCCATCTTGAGGCCACGTCGGTCACTCTTGGATCGCTCTTGTGCTGTCTTGGGGGTCTCTGGGACGTCTTCGATGACCCCCCTGATCGCCCCAGGTGTGCTGCGAAGGCTTGTTAAAACGCCCTGCGAGGCCCGGGGGGCCGCTTCGAGGCCCGTCCGGAGGGTTCCAAAGCCCCAGATCCCGGGAGTCCGCATTTGGGGGGGGGGGGGGGGACGGGTTTTCCCCCCGCCCGGGTATTTTTAAGACTATAGGGAAATAATATATTATATATTGTTATATATAAATATATACTTATATATATATAAATATATCTCTGTATATCAATATATATATTTAATCTATTATTTATAAATGCAAGACGTACTTTCACTACAAGTGGTCCGACTGGTTCGGATGACAGTGTCTCTCCTGCACCTCCTTCGTTTCATTTCCCCCTCCTCTCCCACCTCCCGTGACTCTATCTGCCTCAGTACCATCGCCGTCCGCTCACACCCGCTCACCGAGGGCCATCCCAGCGACTTGTAAAGGCACGACAGAGCACGCCCGGCACAGCGAAACGTGCGCAGAGTTGGTGCCGCGGCCGCATCTTCGAACGACCGCTTGCGACGCGGCTGCGCGCTGAGCTGTATGACCGGCACGGTCCTGTTCGATGGCCACGATGGCCCTGACCGAGGTGCAGCTCCACAGCCGTCCACCTCCGCCTCGCCGAGGCATCGCCGTCGGGGCAGACACTCTGCCCGCAAGGCGCTGTCAGGCGAAGGCCCGGGCGGCCCCCCTCTGAGCCTGCAGCGCCTGCGCTGCGAGGCCAGCCGCGCCTCCGAGGCAGGCTTCCAGGCCGGCGCGACGGCGAATCCTCGCTACGACCCCGAGCCCAGTCGCGCCCTTGAGGCACGCGTGCACGAGTGAAAGGGATGCACGGCGGAGCGCGGAGTAGACGATCGACTCGAGCAGCAGGTCCAGCTGCGCCACTCGCAGAGAAGGAGGGCGGTCCATGTGGGCAAGACGGCGGACACGGGGCACCTTCGGGTTGACACCTCGACTCCATGTTTGGGGAAACCAAAAAGGTACCGATGCCGCTGCTCCCCGGACCTCTCCCGGGATGCGGTCCGACCCGGATTGCGAAACGACTCCAGCGGTGGTGACAAGGGCCGCCCAGGGTGGCCCAAAAAGGAGAAAACGAGCGAGGGGTAAATGAAGGGGCCCTGAGACACACACACACACACATAAATACACACAAATAAAAGGATCCCCCATATTTTCCCATATTTTCTGCGTTTTTGTCTTCTCCCCCACTTCCCATATTTTCCCATATTTTCTGGGAAATCGAGGACTCTTTTCCTCCTGAGTAAAGGTATGGGTGCCTTTTCGCGGGGGTGTCCATGGCCCGCGGCTGGCACCGTCGAGCAGTGCGCGCCCCCTGCCGCTCACTCCCACAGAAGCGCCGCAGAGCCCACCAAGGCTTAAGTCGGGCACGTCCCTCTACAGGCGGGAAGTTCAAAAATTAGTCCAAAAGGGAGGATTTGGGGACATTTTTTGGCCGTTTTGGAATATCGGTTGACTAATTTTTGTTTTTCGTTCAAAATCCGCCTGTAGGGGGACATGCCCGACCTAAACAAAGGCACCCTTCCCAATGACCCAGCAGAGGAAGAAAGTATCGATACCGCCAGTGAGCGTTTTCTTATTCGGCGTTTCGACATTGGGCGGAAGGAGGGGTTGAAGGGGGGGGGGGCTCTGGCTCCAGACTTCTGCTTCAGCGCGACTGTTTGCAACAGTGCGTCCTATGGGGGAGATTCCACCTGCCCGAAACAGGCGCCCCAAACAGGCAACATTTACTCCATGGGGGAGGGCGGGGGGGGTACGAGGGCCCGCGCCGATCGGCAAAACAAGAAATCTGAAAACAACGACCTTGTCTTCGACTGTTTGGGCCTCCTGGGCGGCCCTCGTCGCCACCGCTGGATTCGCGTCGAGATCCTGGTCAGAACGCACCCCAGGAGAGGTCCAGGAAAGTAGTGGCATCGGTACCTGTTGGTCCCCCCAATGGCGGCACAAATCCACCACCACTCCTGCACCTGTCTGCTGGCCTGCAGGGAGCAGCGGCCACAGCAGAGCCGGCCTGAGGAGGCGCACTGCTGCCCTGGAGGCCTCGCCGGCGGACCTCTGCGGTCGGGGAGGCTTCTGGGAGCTCTTCCTGCTCGGCGCGGCCGCAAGCATGGAGCGCGGCGGGACACGCTGCGCCGCCGTACTGTTTCCTGCCAGCGCAGGAGAGAGCGTCGCTCCGCTTTTTTAATCCGGGGGCGGGGCGAAACTCCTAATCTCCTCCTCCTTCCCTTCTCCTCCACCTCCTCCACCTCCCTCCTCTCCCCTCCTCCTCCTCCTCCCTTATCCTCCTCTCCTCCTCCTCCTCTCTCCTCCTCCCCGCCCCTCCTCCTCCTCCTCCTCCTCCTCCTCCTCCTCCTCCTCCTCCCCTTTTTTCGAGCCGCCCCACCACCAAACAACGATCAAGATCGAAGACGGTGACAAAGAAAGAAAGAGAAAAGAGGGAAGCATCAACAAGCCGAGGAGGGGGCAGGCAGGCGGGCGGTCCTTGCCTCCGCGTACTTCCACCACTCCGCCGCCCCCGCTTTAAGGGGCCAGGGCTCGCTGATGTGGTGACCCTTTGGCCACGGCAACCTCCCCGCCTCCAAGGTCCTCTTCTGGGCTTTGAAGACCTTATCACATGGGGCGAGCAACTTGCGGGGAGCGCCTGAACAGTAGGCCCCGCAATTCTTGCAGAAGACTAATCCTAGCCCCGTCTCGAGGCAGCGTGAGACCCAGAGGCGGTGTGGTTTCCCTGGACCGACTCGCGGGGCCCCGAGCGCAAGCAGGCTCGGAGTTAATTTAGCACAAAGACTGTTACTGCTGGGTGGACGAGCGAAGGAGCGGGCACACGCTATACACTGCCACCTGGTCCCATTCCAGAGACAATTGTGAGTGGGGCCAGCAAGAGGGGACCTGGGGGTCCGAGCACGGGTCACACGGGCAAGGTCCCCATACAGCTCCTTGGACCCAGGCCAAAGTTCTAGCATTATACTCATAGCTTTGGCTACTGAGAGCCACTTATCATACTGTATAGTGAACTGGACTTCTAGATGCTGGGCATCAGGATGCATCAGGGCTCCTCGTTTAGCATGTTCATCTGCTAGTCCATCATTGCCTCGAATATTTAGTGCCGTCCCAGGGTCGGTATTATCAAAGATCTTCGCGTGGGCTTTTACCTTGGTCAGAGTCAGGGCGGGGAAGTTACCTTCGTCCACTTTTCTCCAGACGTATGCTGAGCTGGTTGATCCGTCGATGCTCTTGAACGGCAGGCCAACTCCTTTAAACATGCCGCACAATCCACACGGGCTCCAAATACAGACATGGTCGGGTTGGCCTGCATGAGGCCTCGAAGCACTGCAAGATGCTCTGCAAAACCAGGCGTCTGGCTGAGGAAGGCGGGCACGGGCCCGAACATCGCCTTCCTGAAGGCCCCGACCTCGTCGGTGGCCACAACCGCCCAGCCTGCACGGGAGCCTCCTGAGCCTGAAAACGTAGGACCGAAACAACTTCCATCCGAGAAAAGTTCGTCGTCTTCTTCGAACTGAATAGGTTTCGTGGAGCCTGAAGAGTCCAAGAATTCAACAACTTCGTCTAAAATCGGTTGGGCATTGATCTCAGGAACAGGCATCCAGAGTTCCCCAAAGAGATTATCTTCTGGTCCTGCGGCCAGGGCCTCATGCAGCAATGTTTCGTCTACAATTGTTGCCCCCTCCTCCGCCTTCGCGTCGCACTCGAATGCGCGGTGCCACGCCGAGTCGGGGCGGGTCTTGCACAGGCTGCACAACGGTGAGACCTGGTAGCCCCAGCTGTGGAGCTCCGCCGCCGTGATATAGCTGCCACAAAATATTTGCCTAACAATATGCCGCTGTCTGGGTGGCCCCCTGGTGCTCTTCCAAAATGTTTTGGGCGGCAGCGTCCAGAGGCCCCCGTCTCTGATGTCCTCGGAGCTCCGATCCGTCTCCTGGGCCGCCTCCAAGCCAGGGAGCCCCTTGAGGACCTCGGGGGCCAGTAGAGCCAGTCTGAGATCTTCCGCGAGGTACGCTTTGACCGTGGTGGGAGGGGTCTCGGTGAGGAGGAACTCGAACGCGCTGGGGCGCCTGATCCTTGCCGCGTGAATAAATATCCAAGAGGCCTTCTGGACCCAGCAGGACATGTCACCTAAGACCCCGAAAGCTCTTCTTGGCCCAGCTGGAGTTCTTGGGTAGATCCTCAAAGTGTTGCTTGGCCTTGTCGAAGGCCTGGTTGAGCCCCAGCGGGGAGAGACCGTCGTGGGCTCTCAGCTTGATGTTGGTGGCCACCCACCACTCTCTGGAATATCTGCAAAGGCTTGCCGCTGCATGAGACAGGGGGTCCTTGTCTGGATCCAAGGACCAGGCCAGCTGGAGGCTGGTTACTGCAGACGTGAGACCTAGCGCAGCAGCTCCGTGTCTTCCCAGACTGTCAACCTCCCCAGGAAACCAACCCGCGATTGCTTCGCCATAAGTCAGCCCAGGTTTGATACCACAGAAGTAGAGCTTGGCTGTCCTGGCTTTGGCCCCCCGGGAGCCCCCATCTTGCGGATCCTGGCTTCTGCCGTCTTCCATCTGGTCTGGCGTTTCTTCTTGACTCGGGGCTGCGCGCGATTCTTGCCAGGTGCGAAGTCGCATCCAAGGTTGACGACGGAAGGCTCTCCTCCCTCTGGCCCAGCGTAGATGCCAAGCCTGGCGACTGCTCGTCGGAGGAGCAGCTCGGAGTTGCCTGTCATATTAAACTTGTCCATGGCAAGCGGTAGGCCTAGGTCGTTCGCAAATCTGTCTATCAGGAAAGACATAGTAGCCCGCATCTGGCCAATGAGGTGGGGCATGGAGGAGTTACTGTGGTTGAGGCCTATGTCGTCAATATGAATCGTTAGACTGGGCCCCAACTCTTGGCCTGGGTAGTTCGACACTACTGGAAGCATGTGGCACTTGATCTCGAAAGTGGCTGTGCTGGAGCCTGCCACGATCCCTTGCCACGGGTAAATCTTCGGGGAGGCTTGGCCAGCCAAGGCTAAAACACGTGGCCACGTATATGTCGCAGCCGCATATTGTAAACCACGAAGTGGATAATCGAAGCTCATGGCTGCGTCCTCGAGGCCTTCATGTCTGACCTGTTCATAACAGTGCCTAAGATCTCCTATGACACTTAATATGTGTTCATGATCCAGATGTGCGGTGTCCCCTCTGCTCGCCTGTCTCCAGACCCCGTCCGCAATGCGTCTGTGTGGTGCCATGTTGAATGTGCCGTAATTACGCAAGGTATTTCCCCATATCTGCAGTTCTTGGGCATTCCACTTACAAACAAGCCGACCTAGACTCTGGTAGAAGCCGATGGGACGGAAGCCCTTCATCAGCTTGGCGAACAGCGAACCAATAAGGATCTACATCCACGTGGGCAGATTCCCGCACAATCTGATGAGCACAAAAATCTTACTGAGGATGTCCAGGGCCCCGTCTGGCAAGGCAGCAAAATGGCGGGGATGGCATCCGTCTACGTCGATGGCGTGGGTCTTGAGGGAGAGGGAGAGACGGCGGATTTCGTCAACTGACGGGGCCCTGGGGATGCGAAGACCTGGCCACTTGAGCGGGGTCTCTTTTCTGGTCGGTTGCGCATTCCATGCTTCCGACCAAAGGTCGGCCTGAGAGGTTAAAGCTGCTGTCGGACACGCCGTCGGGCGCCCGTCTTCACAAACGTGGAAAACCTGCCCCTTCCTCTCCTCCGCGATCTTAATGTACGCATGTCCCCATTTAGCTCCTCCTTCCAAGGCTTGATCACACCATTTGTTCCAGCTCTCGCGAGCCTCGCGTTTTTCCCGAGGGAGACGTCGGTGGGCCACCTCCTCCGCCTCCGACCCCAACGACCCGAGCCCCTGGATGAGTCCGTCGTGGCTGAGTGAGATGTCCGAAACTAAAGCGTCCAGCTTGCTGCCCCAATAGGGGGCGCCCTCCTCCCCTAGGTGAAAGTGGAGAGGACCTTGTGGACCTTTGGCTGCCCTCTGCAAAGATCCGAAGAGCTGGTTGAGATATTGATCATCCCATGTCCTGCCAGCGCGGAGGAGTGAAACTGCTTCGCGGCAACGATGGTGAAGCCAAACTAGCACTCGGTCTCCCGAGCGGCACAGATGTTGCTTGGTGGCCAAAAGACGCGGGAGCGGAACTGATTCAAACTCGTACTCGGTGCCTCCAGGAGCCCCTTGTTCAGGATAGCTCTGAAATGTGCCCTGAAGTTCGCCCCAAGAAGTTTGATGCCAACCCCGCGCAGCCCCGCCCAAGGCCTCATGCACCTTTAAGTGTTCCGCATCTGTTTTCGGCGAAATGCACCCCTCCCCGTTGGGCTCTGTGAAATCCTTGGGGATCACATCCATGGAGCCCTGGAGGTACCCATAATCTGGCGCTCTGGGTCGGGGGCCCACAGGGACAACTGCAGGGGGGCCTTTGCCTATGAGCGAGACGAAGAACAGATGGGGCCCATGGGTTCTCCTTGAGCCTGAGGAGCACTGGTCGATGAGAGGCCAGCTGGGCCCCCATGTCCGTGATGGAGTCCCTGATGGCATGCTGGGGCGCGAAAGAGACCGTGAAATAGTCGCAGCACTTGAGCGCGCTGCCTGAAACGCAAGTTACCTCAGGCACTGGGATGGTCACTCGACCTTTGTATTTGCGAAGGGGAAAGGGCCGTCTCAACAATGTGAGGTTCGAGGTTGTAGTCCCCCCCCCCCCAGAGATGAATGGGGGGCCCTTGGATAGGATATGGTTACCCAGGGCCTGAGCAATAGCGGTGTTCTCGCCGTTCAGCCCAACACTGTCCCTCCAGTAGTTTGAGTATATGCTGATGGCGCCGAGATGCTTGCAACGAACATGCATATTAATCACTCTGTGTGGCCACACGCTGGAATCACTAGGCTGCCATGCATCGAGATAGCCCCTGACCAAAATCGCAGCGCCAGCGGACATTCCAACCCCCGTGTGGTGGCCTCCTCCCAGAATGATCTCCATCCTGCTTTCCTCATCGAAGCCTGGACCTCGAGGAGCGACTGCCCCTGGAGCTTCTGCTCCTGCACCAGCACGATGTGCGCGTTGGTGCTCTTGATGATGCGCTTGGCTGAGCCCCAGCCCGAGCCGTTCACGGTGAGAATGATAAGACCTTCACTCATCTTGGATCCTTTGACTTGTACTGGTACCTCGGCCTCAGGGCCGTCTTGGGCTAGTCAATGATCATTGCCCTCGCCGTCTCTGGCCTGCTCGCGGCTGCGGCTCCTGCCTCTGTCGGCGGGGGCACCCTTACCTTCGGACCGATGTGCGTGCCTTTGGCCCCCTTGCCCTGGCCTCCCCCTGCGGGGTTCGCGGGCTGCTGGGGCATCGCCTGCTGCGGCCGCGAAGCCATGGCCGCCTTTGCTGGCGGGGCGCTGGCGGGGCCGTCCGCCCCTGCGGGCGCTGGGGCAGCGGAGGCGGCCGTTGCAGCCTCCTGCGCCATCCCCTGCGCCTCTGCCGCCACTGCGTCTGCCCGCGCCTGCCGCTGGACCTGCTGGACGGTCGCGACGAGCGTCTGCATGGGGCCGATGAGGGCCTGGTTCTCGTTGCCCGAGAGGCGGCTCTGGAACGCATTCAGCTCGCCCAGGAGGGAGTCGATCGATCCGTCAGCCTGTCTCTGGGCCGCTGCTCCTTGATCTGTCGGTTGAGCCGCCTCTGGTGTTGAATGTGATGGCGCCAGCTTCTGGACCACGGCCACCTGTTCCGCGATCTTCTGCTGGCACTCCGAAATTTGGGTCTCCTCGTCCGCAATGAGGGACCTCTTCTCTTCGATCGTTTTCTCCACGGCGGCGATCTGGTCACGGTACTTGCCTATGTTGGCGTCGTGCTTGCTCATCGCCGTCTGGGCTTTCAGCAACTTCTGGTTGGCCACGATGAGGAGCTGCTGAGGCGTCTTAGAATTATCTCGTTCCTGTCGGAGGTGTTCGATCGCCTCCTCCACTTTCTGCTTCGCGATGGTGCAGCCCTCGGTCCCCTTAGCCTTGCCCAAGCTGTCGAGCAACTGCTGGCATCGAGTAATCTGCTGGCCGTGATTCACCCAAGGCGGCCCGGACGTGTCGCCAACTCCCGTCATTGGGTCGTCTGTGCCAGCCGTCTTGGGCGGTGGCGGGATCTTCGGCGCCGCCGTCTGCCAATGTACTCCACACATCCTGCAGTACGCAAGGCGCAGGTGGTTGCTGGCCGTACACTGCAGGCATGTCCAGCTCTGGGTTGGGGACGTTGGCGGTTGCGTCCCTTGATCAGCTGGAGATTTGGAGTTCGGGCTGCCCTTGGCGCTCTTGTCCTTGCCCCTGCCCTGCTTCCTCGGAGTAACCAGAGTCCATGACATCTGGACGTGTGGACAGTGAACGAAGCCTGAAAGAAAAACGCCTGCAGCAGGACTGGGCTGCAGGGATCGTGCGGGAAAGCCGCCTGTCGGCAAAAGGAGACCCCGAGCCCAGAATGCGGGGCTCTCACCCCCCTTAGAGCCCGATCGGGTTCTAAAAGAGGCTTGAGCCAAAATGGCTACGGACCTCCTCCTCCCCTCCCCTCCCTCCTCCTCCTCCTCCTCCTCCTCCTCGCTCGCTCGCTCGCTCGCTCGCTCGCTCGCTCCTCCGGGAGCCTAGGAAAGGCTCGAGGCGCTGACGCTCGGGGGCCGGAGCGTGGTTCGCGCGTCGCGCCGAAGCATGGTGGGCCGGAGCCGGCGGAGCGGCGCGCCGAGCAAAAATTCCCGCCCGCCGCCGCCCCAGGCCAGCGAGGCGGAGATGCGGCCCGCAGCCCTCCGAAGCAACCGCCCGCTGCGCCCCTCCCAGCGTCCGCTCCAGCGTGGCTCCTGCCGGCCTCCACAGCAGCACTTCGGTCGGGCATGTCCTTCTACAGGCGGATTCTGGAGGAGCTTAAAAAAACGTTCGAAAATAGTCCGAAATACAAGAAAATCATCCCCTGACCTTTTTCAAACAAATATTGTTTGCAT